TTTATGCGATTTACCATATAGCAAACACATTACCCGCGAACCCTCTTCCGGTGTAGACATCCCCCTGCTGAAATGCCCCGCTAAAATCCATCCAATCGAAATCCACCCCTCGTCCCCTCAGCTGTGCAAATATTTTGGCAAGGATGCTCGAGGGCTAATGTGCAAGTCCTGGCGCGGTTGAGTGGTCATATTTGATCGCCGCCCTTGATTTCTGCCTTAAGCCTCCCCAGTCGGTTTTTCTTTTTTTTTGGTTTTGGGAAAGTGATTTTCCTTTTTTTTCTGCGTCTGTGATTCGTCTTTGATTTGTTTATGCGATTTCATAAAATATTTATCCCCGGGCATAGTTGTTAAATCGCTTGCGATGACTTTCCCTTTTGCCAGCCGGCTGTTTGATCTTGCCGACTGTTTATTTGACTTCACGCTCGATTGCCGAAAATAATTTGATATGAAAGAAGTAAAGTGTAATTTTGCTCTGATTCCGCTGATTGGAATATGCCGCGCTTTCAGCGGGAAAAAGCCCTGAATGTTATTAAAATTACAAACTACAAAACACTGGGCAAAAATCAACACAACACAACCATTACGTATTTTGTACGGCCATTCACACTGCGAAAATAAAAGGGCGATGGGAAAAAAGGGATGGGAAAGAAAATAAAGAGGACTTCCAGTTTAGTCCACTTCCTGTACCGGCTCGCATTCATTTGGCCTAATAAAAAACATTCAATGAGCGAAGCATTCACTTGGCGAAATAAAGAAAATTGGCGAGAAAAGCGACGGCCATTCAAATGGCTTTCAATGGCTGCTTCTTTCCTTCCTCCTTTTTTGGCCCCAACTTAGTGGAACCCCATTTGATTTTGAATGAACTTGGTGAAAATTGCCCTCTGCCATTCCAAAAGGGACGAACAAAATTAAATACACGCAATGCGAATGATCCGGCAAAATCACACACAGCCGTAACAAGCCAGAAAACAGGCCAACAGAAAAAATATAAAACGAGCCAAGGAAAAACTTTGAAAATGAAGCTCATTAAAAAAAGGCGCCACGAAGAAGGTCCACAAATTTGAAGGCTTCCCCTCCGTTGGACAAATAAAAGAACTTGCCGAAAAGTGAGAGGGAAATCGAGGAGATGGAAGTATCACATCGACTAACTTTGACTCTGCGATGAACTCCTAAATTCTACTTAATTAAAAAGCTGGTAATTAACATATAGATAAATTACATCGCGCTGAATTGTATTTTTTAATTGCAACATTTTTGGGATCACTTTTCACATCTATCGATGGCACCACCATGTATTGCCTTAAAAATGTGAAAAGCCAATTCTTCTGGCTGCATCTATAACTTCTCATATCACATGCCGTGTGCATCATCTGAACAAAAGAGTATCCGAGTCGAACCCCTCACGCCTGCCCAAACAAGCTGGCCTTTATCACCAACTCCCCTACTGAACCCGGCAACAAAAGCTACTTGCAACTACACAAAGCGAAACTTTCGACTTCATTTGCATACATAGCGCTCTCGAGAAATGCAATAAAAAATGATAAAATCCTCCGGAGAGCAGAGTCCACCGCACACACACACACTTTCGCATGGAGGAAGGCGAAGGACAACGCTGCCACGCCCCTTTGACCGCACTTCGCTCCGCTTTCAACTGGGTAACTGGCAACTGTGCGTGCTGTCCCCTGGTGGCAGCCAAAGGCGGAGCACCGCAAACGAAGCCAGGTCCCAGTTACTACCAGTTGCCAGTTACCAGCAACCAGCTAGCAGGTTTTCCAGTTGGCCAAAAGCCTGAAGCCCGGCGTTGGCCAGTTGGCCCAGCCGCCAAAAATGAGCTGATTTCCCAAAAAGCAGCGCGGCATTCATGGATTCCTGGTGACCCCAACGAGGACTGAAAAGAGTCCGGAGCTAACAAAAAAAAGAAAAGCCGTAGTCCGGGTGAAACAAAGGCCTTAAACTAGGCCAGCAGCTGTGCTGATTTGGGGGCGTGCAGAAACTTTGTGTTGATATTTCCAGCCCTCCACCAACCGAAAAAAAACAAAAAAGGGGAAAACCCAGCGTTTTCTTTGCGCTTTTCAATATATGTGCGGAAGTAGGAGCCGAGTGGGGCCAGCATGGGTTAATGTGGCAGGCAGCACCTAAAACCAGCCAATTAATGCGAATTTTTGCCTTTTCGCTTTGAAACTTTTCCTGCTCCAGTTTTAGTGTATTAAATTTAAAATAAATGTTAATGAAACGCCATTTAGAGGGTCTGCCGAAGTCAAAAAAAGGCCGCCGAACCTGTCAGGACTCATGATGAAGGAATGCCAGTGTAAAATGTAAAATAACACCAGCAAAACTTATACATACCGATGGAGGGCAAACATCTTGTGCAAACAAAGCCAATCAAAGGAATCCTCAACGTCCCCATTCCGCCCCTACTGACAACTAATTATGAATATGTTTCAGCACATCAAATGCCTCACAGACAAAGCGGCACTAACACTGGCCAAACAAAGTTCCAGTTGAGTCTAATTTGGCTGCGCCACACTCACACTCGCACACACTCACACACACACTCACACACACGGGCACAAAACTGAACTTATGCAAATAGAGCTGACCGAAAAGTTATGGGCGGGGAAATGGGAAAAGGGAAAGGGAAAAGGGAAGGGAAAGGGGTCCGAATCCGTCCGACAACGCCATGAAAATGACAATAATAAAATTTAATGTACACACAGACGAATGCATGCATGTGAGCAGCTCCTCCCACTGTGTCAGTGTGTATGTAAATGTCCTTTGCTAACCGTAAAAACGTTTCCGACAGTTCCTGTCCCCTCGCCAAATTTTAACCCAAAACGAAAGAAAAGCTACGGCGTCATCATACACTTGGCGCAACTTTGGTCGATTTTAGCTTGTTGAAGGGATCATTTTATTTAGCAGTGTATACACTTAAAGATTTCCTCTAAGATCAGCACATTTTAAAGGATATTCCCAGGCAAATATGCATCAAACTACCATTTACTTGGGATACTCACATTTTCTCGCAGTGCAAGGCAAAGGGGATGAGTGAGAGGAGCACGAGCTGCTAAAGTTGAAAGTCATCTAGTTGACTAACAGCCGCAGTTCTCTGGCCACACATACACACACATGGCAATAAGGGGGCGTGGTCGACGTGGGTTGCGGGAGTTCATTGCATGCCCACAGCGGCGGTGAGGGGGGGAGGTTGTGTGTGTGTGTGTGTGCCGGAGTGTGTGCAGCAGACCAAAACACTTCCTACCGCTTTGGCCAAGTATCATTAAAAATATAAAAGTATTTCATGCCACACAAAGTGCGACAGTCTAGTGTCCTCGGCTCCGTTTTCGCCACCCCGCTCATTTTCTATATATTTTTTGTAATTCCTATTTTTTTAAGCACTTTTATGGAACGTTGTCGGGGGGCAAGTCATTGTCATTTGGTCAGCTGCGAACAGCTGCCGACTGCAATGGCCACCCACCCATGGCCACCATGACCCATCCTCGTCCACAGCCACTTGCTAGTCCGTCCACACCACCCAGCTGGGTCACTTCATTATCATGTTAATTTTGTTGTAATTTGCTTGCTAAATGTTGCCAAGTCGTTGGCCACTTTTCCAGCATTTTTCCGGACCGGCTTCCAAGTACATAGTACGTAGTTGGCTCCTCCGGCTGTGCATATTTAACTTTATTTATGGTTTTTGCAAGCTTTCATATGGAAAATTAGAATTTTTGACTGGCTCCTCTTGGCCTTTGCCCTCCGCTCGACCGCCCTGCACTAATTTGCCGACTATTTCGCAAAGCAAAGTTTCCTTTTGTCGTTTCGGGGCAAGTTTTCTTTTCGCCCGGACTACAGAAATATGCCTCGGATTATTATTGTCATTCGGGGACGGAAAAGGACACCCGTTGGCCAACTCAATTGGCTGACTACTGACTTTGTGTGCCTTGCCAGCGATAATGATGATGTTCAGTTAGTCAATACTTTTCGTAACGCTTATTCTAATTATGCGACATGTTGACTGGGCAAACTGTGTCACAATGTGTTTGCGCCTAATTATACCCACGAGGGTAGCTCGTTTGGGCCCTTTTCAGGGCAAAGTTTCCTTGGGGAAGCCCATTGAAACGCAATTTGATTTATTCATTAGACCATTGTCGGCGATTAGATCCACTCTGGCACTTGTTTATCCGCTCAATTTGGAACCCAGTCAGCCCGTGTGCTCTAACCAAATAGCAAATTGAAAAGGGGTTTGGAAGGCGGCAGCGGGATTAGAAGCAGGGGCAGATTAGGTCCACGCATGGCCAGGCGTACTACAAAATAATTGACAACAGTTTGAGCTGGAGAGCTGGAGAGCTGGAGAGCTGGGGAACCGGAGCTGGCTGTCCAAATGACTGACAGACGCTGGCCCACAGACGGGAATGGTCAAAGCCCCTACTGCAATCGCTCCCGAATGCGAGGAGGCTGCTGTCTAAATTGGAAATGTCATTGAGGCGTTTAACGTGAGGAGCAGCCCCAATGACAACGACATCGACATCCGACTCCGACGCCGACTCCAGCTCCTTCTCCAGCTCCTGTTCTTCCTCCAACCAACTGCGTCTGCAACGTGGTCAAAATCATTTAAAGCGGCTGGAAGGATTCAGCCAAGCCGAAGCCGAAGCTTAGAGCCGTGCACTGTGAGAAGTACAAGTATCTGAGTTCCATTACATGCATTTTTTTTTAATTTATAAGGAATGCGTAACTTCTCTCGGTGTACCCACAGCTAGAGTGGCAATCGGCCATCAAATGACAGCCAATTGTTGCAGTCGGCCACTTAGCAGCTGAGGGGAAAATCATTCGCTTACGTGGGCAGACATTCAGGCATTCAGGCATCCAGGCATTCAAACATTCAGACGGTGGACAATTGGTTTGGGGCGACGATTTGACAAAAGCAATTTCAGGGATAACCCGCCAGCCGCCTGCAAGTTATATTTAACCCCCAAATCTCCTCCTTCTTTTCCACCTGTCTTCCGCAGACAACAAATTCATTTGCGACTGTCGTCTGCAGTGGATCTTCGAATTGAAAAATCGCACACGTCACCTGCAGCTGCGTGACTCGCTGGAGGACCTGCACTGCACGCTGCAGGAGCCGAAACTGTCGCACTTTGTGGACCCCGTGCCGCCGACCATCCTGGACGTGCTCAACATCGGAGGATTCACGGCGATTGGCAGCAATAGCGCCAGCATGGGCGGCGTGGGCAACAGCGTGGTGGGCAGCAGCTACAGCGGCTTGACTCTGGACGACAGCAGGAAGCATTTGGGCAGCAGAGCCCGACAGGCACTGCGGGGACAACGGCAGTTCGCCGCGAGTGCGGAGAACGTGGTGGAGTCCAAGATGCGCAGGCGGAGGAAGCGGCAGGAGGAGGTCAAGGAGAAGGACCTGGCGGCAGTGGCTCCGGCTCACAAGCGATACGACTACTACGACGACAACAACGGCGGCATGTCCTTGGGTCATGGCCTAGACCTGGATGACAATCTCAGCCTGCACAAGCAGGGCTTCTATGGCGCCGGCTCTCCGGCAGTGGGTCACAACGATGTGGATGTGCTGATGACATCGCACTCGGCGTCGGGAGACGCCCTCGACATTCTGACCAACAAGAACGCGATCTACATCAAGTTGTTCCTGCTGAAGCCGGAAATGCTGCCCTGCCACGATGAACTCAGCGATCCCACCGAGCTGCCCCTCTCCCGCGATCTGATGGACGTGCGCAGCAATGTGGGCCAGGACATGTCGACGGCAGGAGCCGATACCTTGGCCCAGGGCATGGCGATCATAGTGAGTCTAGTGGCGCTGATGTTCAGCCGGGGTTGAAGAGTCCACTCCGAAAACGGTTGCTAATTGGTGACCCCGACGTTTGGTTCTACATTGTACATACTGTCTTGGAGATGTGGTGCCCTTGGGAAACGAGCTTCAACACGATAATTACGAAAGATACCAGCTACAGTCCTGTAAATATGTAAAAAGGGGTAACGAAATTCGATAAATTTAATACTATGAACCTAGCTGATAGCTGTAATGATAGACTCGACTTTTCAACAACTTCAGCAGCAGATTCAGATTCAGATTCAGATTCAGATTGAGATATAGAAACCGATACCAAAACCGATACATTACCGAAACTATAAGCCCAAAACGAACCCAAAAGAGAACCTCCGAGCAAACTGGCGTTTCATTTAATAAAAAAGAAGAAAGATACTCAACTTATCGCGGATGATGACTACCACTACACTGTACTACATAGAATTAGTTTAAACGGATAGCCATAGTGAGATTTTTGGTTTACTTGAACAAGGTACATACTACAGTAAAACTTGGAAAGCGCTAAACGTCTTAGATGGAGAGACAGAGCTGGCCAAAACCACTAAAATGAGGCATGCCTGTAAGATAAACGCAAACGCAGAACATGACACAATCGCTGAAAGTTGCAACGATAGCCGTTAGTCGATAGGCAATAGACGATAGCAGATAGCAGATAGCAGATAGTCGATAAATAATAATTGATAAATGTAATAGGTAAACGTAATATTCCCGGCCACCCGCAGTTCCCCTTTAGCGTTTAAGTCTGCTTTTTAGTTGTAAGACTGTTTGCTACCCTAGGACTCTCGCCTGAATTTCCCCTAACAAAACCCTGTCCCGGGAAAATTACACAACAAACACTTTTCTGCTTTTCTCCTACTTTCGCCGCACCAAAAATAAAAATAAAACATAAACATGAAATAAAAATGAATACATTGCGAATTTATATAACTTATTTGAATAGATTCAAATTACAGAAAACAAAGCCATAAAGAGATATAATAATAAAAACAAAACAGAAATATGCATAACGATTTTTGTAGCTTAAGACTGAATATATAAAGGTAAATTATGCTAATATATACAAAATATTTATATGGAAAATACTGTATGTTTAATTGTATTGTAATAAATGCAAGCTGGGGGAAAGGGTAATGTCATTTTTAGAAAACCAAAAGAGCCGACGATTCGTGCATTCAAATTAGTATGGATGCACATTACACTTTATTTGGCAATTTATTACGTATTTAATTATGCACAAAACTATGATTTACCAAAAAACCGAAAAAACGAACAAAAAAAGCTGTTTATTAATGTGTTTAATAATTCATATACAAAAGAAGTTAAAGTAAGCAAAACCCGAATGCAAATGTATTGTGTAAAAAAGGGGTGAAAGCCCCGGAAAGGAAAGAGCCGGAAAAATAGAACGCCGAGCATAAGGAGCAAGCATAGTTTTAGTGGACAATCAGCAGATAAGTGAAGTGAAAGCAAACAGCAGGAAAATCGGGGGAAAATCCCAAAGAGCTGGGAACCAAGAGCCCGGAAAAGAGCCAAGGAAATAAGGGGGCAAGAAAATTTAAGACACTTGAAACAAGCGAAATAATGAAATAATGAAATAGTCGAGAGCAAAGCAGAAACACAAAACTATTTTAAGTAACTGAATATAAGCTAAATGTATTTAGTGTTTTGATTACCCACTAAGAACTTCAACACAACAAATAAAACAGAAAAATAAAATAATTAAACCAAATAATAAGTGTGAAGAAAATGTGAATCTAAGAAATTTCTATCTAAGCAGGGCACTAATTTCATTATTGTTGATACTCAGCCATTTTACACTCATTTCATTTGATTGTCACGAAGTTACTATGCTAGAGATTGTGAAATGATTTTCAGTTGCCTCAAGGAGCTGGGCGAAATTCGATTGACTTAGCCACTCTGTCTAGTGCATTAAATGCTTGTAATAATAAATTATTAACGACACGAACACATGATTAACACCTAGCATTAAGAATTGAGAAGTTTTAACCAAAGATTTTGTGTTCCTCTTATCGCCTAAGAAATGTTTGGTTGTTTTGGTTTTGTTTTCGTGTGCCATTTGAAATGATTTGAATGTAATTTGTCTTCTCTATTTTTTACGGCTAAGCAGCGCATGGAAGTAGGCAGCGAGTAAAGTAATTTTTGAATATAAACAACTAATGTAGCTTACTTAATTATTTTAACTTAAATGTACACAGAGCGAACGGACAGCAAGTAATATAATCGAAATATAAATGTATTTGATGTAAGAAGTTTGCTTAATTGATACCGAAACCAAAATGTCAACCCCAGCCCACAAACACAAAACCATGAATGAAAGGACCTTTTTTGGCGCAAGAATACTAAGAATACTAAGAAACTGGGGGCGTGGCGCCACCAGAAAGCCAAAACCAGAACACATTCCAATTGCAATATTTTGTTTAACTTTTACTTTGCTGGGGCCCCGTCTTAAAGTCCTCGAACGCCACTGAGGTCCCGCTCATGGAATCCAGAAAACAATTTTGAAAGAAAAACCATCTAAATATATTTAATGTAAAAAAAATAAACCGAACACAGTGTTTCCACTCATTTTATTGTCTTGCTTTTGCCTTGCTCGCGCAGCACAAAGCATCTTCTGCTGCCTCGAGTAAAACTTGAAATATTAAAATGCTTCCTGGACCGGAGCCTCCTGTTTATCACTTCCGCAATTTAAGCGCGCACAAAACATTTCGGCACATGGCTCGATGGCGCCCTAAAATATGCAAAGCTTCATGCCCCCGAAATTTGGGGAATTCAACGCCGCAGGACTCGCGCTTCTTTTGTGCCGCGGATATTTTGCTAAATTTCATTATTGACTGAGGCATACGTTTCGCAGCCATTCGTTCAGGTGGGCATAAGAAATTGCCAGCCCATTATTGGCGCCTCCACCACATCACTCATACGCCGCGTTGCCCTAGTAATAAAGTTGTATGCACATCGCTTCGCGGATAAGCCCCTCAGCCGCATGTCTGTGGGCGTGGCACTGCACGCGAAGGTGGCGAATGGGGGAAAGTTCTGGGAAAATGGTGGGAAAAAACGAGCGAACTCCCCTTCCCCCCTCAGCGGCAAAGTGATAAATTGGATCCAAACGGTGGAGCAGATTTATTGATTTCATTGGGCTGCTGCTGAGCAACCGAGCGGCACGTCAAATTGAATAGACGCCAACGGCGACAAAAATCAAAAACAGATATGCAAATAAAGCACACACACTGCCACACATGCACACCATGTGCGTATGTATGTGTGTATGTGTTTGTCGGAAAATGGCGTAGGAAAAATGGCTGCGGGAAGGCGGGAAAAGTGCGCTTTTTGCCCGTTTACTCACGGCGTGTCAAATTTTTGCAACTGATTATGCCAAAGGCGCCAACGCTGAAGTTCACAATGCACACACGAGTGTGCGATGGCTTGGGTGCTCCTGGGTGGGCTTGGGGGTCCTGGAAATGGGCTGGGCTTACGTCACACGGGCGGCCAGACACGTTGCTAGACGATGTTATCAAACAAAATGACGGCGACAACGGCAACGGCAACGGCAATGGCAACGGCAGCTAAGTGCGGCCTGCCAAGTGCCCGCGGCCCAATCTGAAGTGGGTGATTCAGTGGTTTGGAGTGGTGCGGTGGTGCATCAGGGGGCTATTATTCCGCGATATGCCAGCCAGCGACAGGCAGGCAGGCGGGCAGGCGGGCGAAGCAAAAAAATCAATCAAGCGAACGGCTTTGACACTGCAGCCCCGATCGGAAATCGGAAATGCGAAAAATGCCAGGAGGAACCTCCATTGCTGTTTGCTTTGAGCTCGCAGTTCCTTTCCATTACCGGAATGCGCTTTGAGAGATCAACCCTGGCCCCGCTGAGTGAACTCTCCACCGCAGTTTAGCTGGCTTACTAGACCCAACCCTCGGTTGTGTATTTTTTATTATTTTTCCTTCTCCTGCTATATGGCCAAAACGGAGGAGCGCAACTGCAGCCGGGACACGTGATTGACATGTGTCTATGGACTGGGGCCAATATGGCGTGCGATTTACGTGGCTTTATTATTACCTTCCCAACACATGTACTTCTCTATGCCCTCCACTCGAGCAAAACAGCGGCTTACTGTGCTGTTGACGGCAAAGGGTAAAAGGTGCAAGAATGCAGTCCTTACATGCCCTCAAAAAATACATTTATGGCATTAGTCAGAGTGGCGAGTTGGCAGGGTAATTGCCTTGGCTATAGCTTCATTTAATGTGCTAAATATGAATGAGAAATCTTTATAAACTTAAAAATGGTTTTTGTCCAAATTGTTTTTGATTAATTTCATACCCAAAATTTGCTAGTTTTGATTTTGCGGTCAGAAATAAGCGGTAGTTTGCCCATAACAATGGGAATAATCAACCAAATATCGAATGTTATACCTCTTTTGACTCGTATTGACACCCCCAATCGATTGGCATTCAAAACTAAACTTTTTATTTTTTGGTCGAATTTGGAAAAAATTGATGATGTAACCCCTTATCAAAAATGTGAAAATGGGTAAAAAAAATATTTTCCCAAATCAGCACTCAGATGATGGGGACAGTTAGCCCAGATAATTACCTGCTAAAAACAGCCTTTATTTTATATTTGTGACTATTTTTGGCCTTTTTATGACGTATAATCCAAGCCAAAATCTCTTTCATTTGCCAAAACTTGATGTTTTGTTTTTGGGGTCAAAAATAAGAAGTAGTTTGTCCATAACAATGGGAATAATCATCCAAATATCGAATGTTATACCTTTTTTGACTCGTATTGACATCCCCAATCGATTGGCATTCAAAACTAAACTTTTTATTTTTTGGTCGATTTTTGCAAAAATTGACGATGTAACCCCTTATCAAAAATGTGAAAATGGGTAAAAAATATATTTTCCCAAATCAGCACTCTGATGATGGGGACAGTTAGCCTAGATAATTACCTGCTAAAAACAGCCTTTATTTTATATTTGTGACTATTTTTGGCCATTTTATGACGTATAATCCAAGCCAAAATCTACTTCATTTGCCAAAACTTGATGTTTTGTTTTTGGGGTCAAAAATAAGCAGTAGTTTGTCCATAACAATGGGAATAATCATCCAAATATCGAATGTTATACCTTTTTTGACTCGTATTGACACCCCCAATCGATTGGCATTCAAA